ATTGAAATCTACACGCTAATACACACTATACTCATAGTCACCAATGCTGATGTTGTTAACATTAATCATTTGAGAATAATATATATATTATTATAACAATAATAATAATTTGAACGGTTTGATGTGATATGAGCTAACCGATCTTTAGATTTAATCACCATTGGTAGCGAGATTTATGGTAATGCTTTTTTCCTCTCTTATTTGGGTCATATTCCAAGATGTGCTAGAATCTGTGATTGCGAAGTACAGTAAATATCCACACCGGTGCGGTGACTGACTGCCACACATACTCTTCAGAACATTAGATTCATCCGAGCTGGAGCCGTGCCGACTCACAACCCACGCAAGCTAGATAATTCCTCACTCAGTTGCAATTCCAGGTTTTCAAACAGAGATGGCGACAAAGAGGCAAAACTTACGGACTGCAGCTTTAACTGCTCGTCGTCAAACATTTCAAGAACATTCTTCCTCTCCTGAAAGATTCGCGCACGTCTCTGTCTCCTCAGCGCCATCACAAGCCCCTACTGGCAACTCCTAACCACTTGAGAGTCCTCTTGAGCCGTCTTAAATAACTGGGAGAGTAAGAGTGATTCTTAGCTTTAAGAAATTAAATTTGATAACTTGCTTTTACTTAAGTTTGAAAGTAGGAGTAAATTTAATGAATTCTCAGCACTTAAGACTAAAATGGCACTTTGAGAAGCTTGATAAATACAGGCCCTGATCTCACATACTTTTTCTTTTCTTTACCAGCAGTTTGGAGATCCCTGTTGTTTTCTGGATGACTGGTTAGTTAATTCAGTTAGCCATGTCTCATTTAGGGCCTCAGGGGAAGTGGTGTCATGGTGGCTGTGAACTGGGCTCATGTTTAGTCATATGCCTTTCATTGCCACAAAATTGCCACCTGAGCTGCATTGCAATTGTTCAATCACATGCACTAAAAATAGACTGTGTGTGCGTTCACCTTGCATCATTTTGGGTCTCAAAAGCAATAGAAAAACGATTTCAATGCTGCTTTATTGAAGCACACACAAGATAAGCGACAGTACACAAAGAAACAAGGAAATATAGACGCCTGAAAAATAAGACTTAAGCCACACCACAACCACAACAACAATAACAACAACAACACCTGATCAGAGATTAAAGACACAAGGCATGATTAAAGACACAAGGCATGAGAAAACAAGTTTCTGTCTAAATCGTAAATATATTCATATGTGTATTAACACACTGAATAAACTGCTACAGTTTACACAAGAATAACTGTATGTATGATTTATGCAGAAATTTGTTCTAGTCATATTTTATGAATGAGGCTCATAGACAATGATTAGTATGTGAACAGCATGCAGGAGAACTCAATCGTGGTAAATGCAGTATTGATAAACAGGTAGGACTTTTTTAGCAAATACTTTTATTCAAAATGTGAGATGCAAGCAGAAACGAACTGAAGGAGTCACGCAATACAGGTAATGTTTGTAACAAATTTGTGCAAGAACATAGTATTACAGTACTCATACACTATGTGTCATTTTATTAAGTGCTAAAAGGTTAATTTGTTCAGATAATATCAACATAAGAGACTGACAGAGATGTTACACCACTACGCACTATTGTTACTCTCTCTCTCTCTCTTTCTTTATAATGCTACTGAATCACTTTTAACACAGTCACATATATCATTGCTATTACTGATTGATTTTCAGTCATGAGTATTAATGGATGGCATTATAAATGTGTGTGCATATGTTTGTTTGTAGGCCATAAAAATGCAGTCAATATAGAGAAGATAATTTTCAGGGCTGCTTTTAATTCCAATGTTGACTGATGACCTAGTTTCATTGCACAGTAGACTGGAATTGAGCCAATCAAAACAACAAACAAAAATATAAAGCAGTAATTGGTGTTTTCTGAAATGCATCGGCTTAACATGTAAATACCATGGTATATGAATATGGTAATAATTATGTACCATGTCATTGCCATTTGACACCATGATATCTGAAATTAGTTTTTTTGGGGGCACTTTGTGTGGTGAATGTGAATTTTAATGTCATATAACATTGTTTGAGAAAGTCAAAGAATCAAATCTACCTGCCGTTCTACAATAATGTAGCTGAATTGTCATAGTTAGACTGTCCCAACAGTTTGTGGAGGAATCATTTAGGGATTGAAAATACATGAATACCTTTGTGTGAATAAACACAGTAAGCCATTTAAAAGGATTTTCTCTTTGAAACGGCTGAAAGAACTGCTGCCTCTATGGCTGTTGTTCACTCCAAGTGATAAGCAGCTCTGGGATTTTAGCCACCAACCTTTCTGCTGGCAGCCGCACTGTAAACCTCAAGTAATGTATACGATAAGACATTAACACTGCGATACTCCTGTTTTTATTTCATCTGATCACTGTGACTGCATATGGCTGTATCTAAGCACCTGATGACCAGGAATCTACAGGACCTGTACAATGACCTGTGAAATCTTTAGAATCAGCTGCATTTTAGTTTGTGCTTCACGGGTTTTGGGGGGAAAATTATGCTTTCTTTTCATCTTTACCCCCCCTCTTACACAGACACATCTGTCCCGACTTCCCTCTCCTTCACTCACACATTTCTCTCTTTCTCCCTGAAAAACATTATGACCTTGGTTACATCATCCTCTCCATCTGTTTGTAGATATGTTTCCATCACCCTGTTTTTATGTGCATTTTGAAGTATTGCATCAGAAACAAGTGATGGAAATACCAAATTTCAGGAAGAAAAAAAAAGTTTTTGCTCACTTGAGGTGGTTTTTAACTTGTGCGAAAAAGAGTTAATGTGAATAATGGGAGATGGAAAAGCATTTGCTGAATAAATTCCTCCATGCGCATCAAAAAAAGTAATGTGACAGGATAACTTGACTAACCAGCGGACTGATCTCATTGCACAGCATCTCAAATGTTGTTTTGGTCATTCTGCAATGCCTGAGCCGAAGTCTATCATCAAAGTATTTCTTTCTGTATAATTGCCTCCCAAAACTGTCTTATACAACTGTGTTCCCAAACAGCAGGCATCCATCTTCGAAAGCAATGACCACATGTATTGTTTCGTCTGCTCGTTCTGAGGCTCAAGTATTTTATTACATATGAAAATTATTATATTCAGTGGCTTCTCCTACTTTTCTTAGTGATATTTAGTGCCAGTTTATCAGGAAGTGATGATTTTGTTCTCTATGACTCATTGGATGGAAACAGTGCTTTAATTGCAAATGTTTTATGCAATATTCTAATTTTGCACATAATTTAAATTTGCAACTTTTGATGGAAGCATAGCTAGTGTGTTTATGTCATGGAAATGCTGTGTGATGGAGATACTAAGTTTTAATCCTCTTCTTTGTTTCATGTTTGTTTCATCTGTTTGTCATAATATCATAGTGGGGCATTGTGCTCTGAATTTTAGTGTAAATGTGTGGTGATATTTTATTGGTATCTGACTCATCAGTGATGTCTCCTGGTCCCATGGCCCTCTGGGAAACAAGAGGAATGAAGTAAAAGGGAAAGGATCTTTTCTTTCATAAACGCATCCATCGTCTCTCTCTTCTCGTCTTTCTGTCTCCCTCCCACTAATACTATTGATCCAGCAGTTGGACTGTTTATTCGGTTAAACATGGTAATTTTTTGCCTCTATGAGAAATGTTGTGTTTGCACCAATGTGTTGTGGTTGTTTGGTGTATTTGAAAATGATTCTTGATGATTGATCGTAGACACAATCATAACCGCGCTAACTAACCGCAACGTTTGACTTCTGACCCCTTAGTCAGATTTTTTTTGTAAGAATCATCCAATGAGATGAACACACACACCCCAATAGCAACAGCTTCTAGATGAAATTTAGAAACTTCATTGTAGTCACTCACTGGATGGATCATTTATGAACTCCAGTAATATAATCCAGAACTCCTTATAATTTAATATGAACTTTCAGATGGTAATAAAATGTAAGCATGTCCTGACTGACAGTTTTTTTGTCTTTCTTGTCTTTCTTTCAGATCCAGCCATATGATAAGATCAAGGCAAAGGGTCTACCAGACAACATAGCAGACAGTCTGAATAAGCTGGTGGTTGTGAAGCTGAATGGAGGTCTGGGAACCAGCATGGGCTGCAAAGGGCCCAAGAGCCTTATTAGCGTCCGTAACGAGAACACTTTCCTGGATCTAACAGTCCAACAGATTGAGGTTTGTCATATGACACCGAAAGCTTGAAGTATAGTTTCACACATGGAGGTCTATAACATCTTCCTGTTAATCTCCATGACAGTCATTTAGCGGGGGCTAAAGTGGCCATGCTAATTAGCCAAACATTGCCCCTTTGGTTTCAACAAGTTTGTTAGTTCCCACAAAATAGACAATTTCCTTCCTGCATAATTTGCTTTATGTAATCCACATTTGGTTTAAAAATACAGAACACTACAATTCTATGATTTTTTTTTTCCATAGCACATTTTGCAAGATAATATCTTTCTAATATTCTTCGTGTGTTTTTATCTGTAGGGAATGCACATTCAATTATTGTCATTTTTAAATGCATCTCGGATAAAAGAGCTTCTCAGATTTGAACCCAAAGAAATATAAATCACTCCAGCTGGGGAAAACACAGCAGCTGTCTGAGAGATTTGAAAGCGAGCAAATAGATCTCCACCCATAGGTCTTAAATCACAAACATATGTTCCTCTGTCTTTTCCTTCTCTTGCTTTCTTCATCTACAGCTGTACAACACAGACACATTCCTTCATTTATACAGAGTGTGCATTTTAAACCAGCAGCAACAGGCCTCTGTGCTAGTTATTTTTCTCAGTGCCATGGACTGAAAGATAGTTAGTGAGTATGAAAGAGAACTTGGGGTGAAACAGAGAGAGCTGTGTTCTGGGCAAGAGGGAAAAAAAGATAGGGGCCAAATACTGAGCCCTGTGGGACGCCCTCACTGAAGAACATTCAGCTCAGTGTCTCTTCGACAGACCGTTTACCTGCCGCATGTCGTCAGATATCCCACTCACTGAAAAAGGCCCATTAGTACATGTAAATGGGTAATCTATCCTTCTCTCTCAGAAATAGAGACTGTCATTTCTGTACTTGGCGGGCCTTTAGCAAGCCCTTAGGCCAGTTTATACCATTTGGCTTCTCTCTAGGCTGAGATTTATGGGCATAAATTCATTACAGGAAACTTACCTAAAACGTGTCAACACATCCAACAGTTTCTGAAAGAGGATGATGCATACTAATTTTAATAAATTGTGTGGGAACTTTGTAGTTATTTAGAGTATCATTAACCATTAACACAGGGAAATTAAATAGTTTATTTATGGCTAATTCTTCAATTAGTGAATTTTTTTAACTAGTTTCATTCTGTTACTAATTATATGTTTTTCTGAGTTTTAAGACTGATGAAACTTAAAATTTGACAGATTTTCTCAGTTTTGAACTTGCGTAAGATAGTTCATGTCAGTTTGTGCTACACTGAAAAGCATTTGCATTAATTTGGACAATTATGTCTTTTTAACAAGGTTTCTGTAGTTTGTCTGAACATTTAGAGAATTACTGCAGAAACTGGTGTCCAGCACTATGCTTAAATTTTGATCCAAAAATACATACTTTTTTTTTTAATTTTCAGTGTTTACTGCAGTACTGTTGATACCTTGCCAGTTCAACTAATAATTATGTTCTGATTCATTATTGACCATGTTCATCCCACCAGTGTAACTGCAGAGATTAGATAGGAGATATGTCTAGACCTATATCCATTTGAGACCATGTTTTATCAGCTTGGCTCTTGTGTTTACAGACACACGTTTACAGAATTGTTGTCTAAACAATAACTTCTGTTATTTAGAATTATCTAGAGTTCATTCTCCCAGATAAAACAGAATGTGCTGCAGAATGTACTAAACCTGCCAAAGTATCTGTATTAATGTGAAACATTGTGGGTTTACAGTCATTGTTAGCTTGTTTAGAATGTTAATGGATAACCTGAGTTAACCTGCTGGATAATTATTTTAGTAAATATTTTTTTCTTTCTGGTCTCTTCAGCACTTGAATAAAACATATAATGCTGATGTTCCACTGGTGCTTATGAACTCTTTCAATACGGATGAAGACACTAAGAAGATCCTACAAAAATACAGGCACCACAGAGTCAAGATACACACTTTCAACCAGAGCAGGTATTTAACCCACACATGCATACATACACACATTTACCTGACAAGAAATAGACTTACATTTATTTTTAAATAAAGCTAATTAGAACTAATTAGCCTAAACTAAAATCATAAGCCTAAACTAAATGTTATTATTATTCCAGGTTTTTTACATTTATCTGACTTCTCTTAGTACGTATTCTGAGTATAGCTAAGTAAGCACTAACCACAGATATATACACAGTAATAATGTAACATTTATGTAGTTTAAGTACAATAGATCTCTCAGTTGATGACACATCACATAAGCACACACATCTAAACAAAGAAACAGATTGTAATTCAGGGTTTTGGCACAGACAGTGCAGGATGAAAAAAACTTGAATTTTTTCATCTTAATAATGTGTGCTGCTGACCCCTTAACCTGCAAACATTTTTCTAAAACAAGTTTTTTAAAAAACAAGTTAAAGATTGATGAGGTTTCTAAGCAATAATGGGTATATGTTAATATTTGATGGACTCGTCAGAGCAGAAATGTATTCAGAATACAGTGCTAAAAGATGGCACATATTTAGTCCCCGCTGAAGCTGAAGCAATGTGATGAAAGGATGAGGAGGAGGATGAAGGCTACATAGAATGTCAGATGTTTTCCCTGGCTTCATTTGACCTGAATAAGCATGAAATGCAAGAGCGAGAGAAGATTTTAGAGCCCCCCTGAAAGCTCATTTGCATAAGCAATGTATTTTTCGTGCCCATAAATATAAACAAGGCTTGAAATGTTTTTTCTTTCTGTAAAGAAACACTTTATTTGAGTGTTTGCATCTATTTTATCGATCCATTTGAGCTATTTTATGACTTCTGATCTTACTGATATTTAGCGATGCAGCTTTGGCCAATATGATAGTGATAATCATTTATTATTTCACAGACTATTATTTTAGTATTATTTATATACTATTATTATATTTATAATTAATTTCAATTAGCTTTATTTTTATAATTACATTAGAATACATTAGAAACGTAGACTTTCTCTCTTCTAAATTTTCCAGGTATCCACGCATAAATAAGGAGTCATTGTTGCCGGTCGCTAAGGACATGGCTATGACAGGAGAGAATGCAGATGTGTGGTATCCTCCTGGTCATGGTGACATTTATGCCAGCTTTTATAACTCCGGTCTGTTGGAGCAGCTCATCGCTGAAGGGAAGGAGTATATTTTTGTCTCCAACATCGATAACCTGGGTGCAACGGTAGACCTGTATATATTGAACCACCTGGTGAGCCAGCCGAACGGCAAACGCTGTGAGTTCATCATGGAGGTCACAGACAAGACCAGAGCAGATGTGAAGGTGAGAGAATATTATTTGTGTGGGATATCATACAGTAGTCCAAAACAACAGTGTGACTTTTAATCAGAGGAATTATCATTTCAACCAAGCAGCCACTGTAGCCAAGTGTATTTTAAATGTTTAAGAACAGTAAAAGTAAAGTAAATGAAGGTGACAGATGGTAAAACCAAATGTAAACAGGTCCAGTGATTCTTTATTAATAGCAAGGGTGTAACTTTGGTTTGAGAAGTGGGGGGGACACAAAATGGGGGAAAATGTTTTCGATTTGAATCCCATTTCCTGCATGTACATACATTTAGGGACTATGGTGATACAAAATCCAGGAAATAATTAAGTTGATTAATGATCAATTCTGGCAAAAAGAATAGTAGGCTACTAAACTATGTATAAGAAAAA